CCCCCTTTGCTGGCTCGCTCAGCTCACTCCGCCTTCTCTTTCCTTCTGCAGCCTGCAGCCTGGCCTCCGCGGCGAACTTGGTGATGGTGGCCTGTTCCAAGGACGCAGAGTTGCCCTGCGCGGGCTCCGGGGACCCGCGCGTGTCCCACATGGTCTCCTGGGTCAAGGTAAGAGAGGCGCGGTCCCAGGGCTGCGAGGCGTAGTCCCGCGCGGGCGGGCGGAGCGGCGGTGTCTCGGGGCGCTGAACCCCAAGACTGGTCCTACCATACGTCTCCCCCAACTGCGCCCGAATCCCGCGGGCCCTGTACCTAGCAGTTTAAGTCTTGTTCCAAGGGACCCCTGCCCTGTACTTGCCCCTGAAGGTGGCCCGCGCAGGGTGACGGGGTGTCTTGGGAGAGCTGAGAACCTCTTGTTTGGATCAATTCTGGAGGCCACCTGTGGCCGCGGTCAGCGAGAGGCCGCAGGGAAGCCGCCGAGGGCAGTTTGGACATTGGACAGGAGCAAAGTTTCCGGTTTCCTGGTGTTGGTGTCCATGGTTGCAGGAGGGGCGTGGGGAATGGACGGTTTGAGAGGAAAAGCCAAAATGTGACTTAGGCTTGTGTCATAGATGGTGATTACTTGTCAGTCAACTGCCCTTTCTGGAACATCCCGGGCCTCCCCCACCCCCTGCTTTGCCTCCCTCTGCAGTTGTGGGGGGTCCGGTATAGAGGCGAACAGTGGTGATGGTTGGTGACATTCTCACCAACAAGTCTCACTGCCCCTTGTGTGGGAGGACTGAATCTCACTGAGGCTTGCTAAAGATTTGGTTCCAACGGAAAGATTCTCATCTTCTGAGACCATAAGGAGCCAAGCTCAGTCTTGCTGTCACTGGTCCCCTGACCCCAATTTCCCTGAGGTGGTAGCCACAATAGCGCCTGGGGTTCAAGCTCAATGACTATGACACCCCAGAGTTGCTAGGTGTCTCAATGAACTGTGGTGGTCTTACCTTGGAGAAAATCTCTCGTCTCTGTGTGTTTTAAGTTTTTTGCAGTGCAGGGCTTTCTTTTATCCACAAGGCAGCATAACCTAGGACAGCTCCCACCTGTGTGTGTCCTCTCCTGACCAGACTGTCATTTCCCTGGGACATTGCTGCTGCACAGCTGGGATGTACTCTGACAGACCCCATCCCCTGAGAAGATTCCCTGTCAATGCAGAGCGTTGTGATGGGTGGGTCTGGGGCTGTTTCTTCCGGGCAATAAATCTTGTGTGAAAGTAGGTTTGTTACTATTCCTACTTCATCTCTACCTTATTCACAGTGGGAACAGAGAACATAGTAATTGCACAGTTGTTGCAACAGTAAAAACAATAGTACCTTAACAAAAATATTGCAGAAACAGTAAGATTTATGTGCTTACCATCTGCCAATCTCTGAGTTAAATATTTACCTTCCTTTTCTGTTTCATTCCTTTCCATGGGCTAAGAGACCAGTATAATCACTGCTTCTACTTCCCTGATGAGAAAACTGAGCCTTAGGCCTGAGGAAGCCTTTGGGCTGCTGTTACACAGCTGCCTCAGTGGCAATTTGAGGGATTTGAACCAAGCAGTCTCATACCAGAGCCTGTGGCCTTAGAGTTCTATGTTGATATTCTCATTTTCAACCAAGATACTTATGGTAAAGAAAATAAACTTGATGCTGGGCAAGCAGGGACTTAGTCATCTTAAAGAAGGGGCAAACATGAAGCCCTTATCCTTTTCCCAGAGTGAATGCAAAAATGAAAACAATATGAATATCCCCGGTGGAGAGAGTAATGAAAAAGTACTCATGAAGCAAGTAGATGAAATTTCAGACTGTGAGGTTCAAACTGTTGTCAAGTTAAATCTTCTTGCACAAGGTCATTTAGAATGATTCAGTAAGCCATAGCAGTTAACCTTTGACTTCTTCTTGGATGTCGACTGATGATATAACTCTATAAAGTAGATGCTTGTTTAACACAGTTCTTGTATAATGTGCCTTGAAGGTCTCTCAAAACTGTTACCACAACAAAAAGACATCTGTCTCTGGAATTCTTCCCTTTTTATTGGTTCATGGACTAGAGTCAACTGTGATTGAGTAGTGGTGGAGAGGAGAGCTTTGGTATGCCAGCACACTGTTCAGTTACCTTGAGATAGGTGGAGGTATCTTGTCCCTGCAAGTATTTTTAACAGATCTCAGCATATTCTAGATATTCATTTTTTCCCCAGTCCAGTAATTATACTTTCATATTAATTGTGCTTGTACAACAAAAGTGGATAGCGTGTTCTGAAATCAGGCCAGTGGTAAAATAGTGAAACACTTCTTTTTATCAAAAGGTTAAGCATCTTCTTAACCCCCTTATCTCCTTTCTCGGTAAAATGTTTCTGTGAAGTGGGGATGTAGCAGTAAAAGGAGGAATTTGAACCATGGTCGTGGCCAGTCTCGATTACACTGCCTGCCTTCATCACTACAAGTGTGGTTTGCGCGGTCACAGGCTGTGTGCTGGACATCGAAGGCAGAGTCACGTGGCATGTGGGCTTTCACTGTCTTCCAGATTTACTCAGCTTCCTGCATATCACAGCTTCGTTGTATTGATTTTCTCTTAAAAATTTCCCTTACCCCTCAGTTCTGCAACTCTACAGAACATCCTACCATTGTCCACTGGTCACTACTTACGATTTCAAGAAGGACCCATGTAAACTATGTGTTTCTTATCATGTGCACTTTACCAAAACTCTCAAAGGAGTCAGCGGCCAATTAGTGCAGGTAACATTAGGGTGAACTGGGAAAGAAATGTATCCCTTTCATTCTCTCTTTCAAAGGTGCAGTGAGAGGGCCATCAGAATGTAACATATGCACGGGGTTGAAAGGCAGAGCCAGAGAGGGCAGAAATACCCCAGTTTGGTTAATCCAACTCTATTTATGGATTATGAATTGAGATTCAGCATGTATCCTCCTGTGACTCCTCCCATACTATACCTTTTGAGACAGAGTGGGTGGTTGAGAAGAAATAGTATATCTATTGGGATAGTAGTTATATTCAACTTTTAAAGTTGGGAGTAGATTGTGGCCTGTTTTGAGGTTATTTTGTATATTTGCAAAGTATGCAAGTAGACCGTGCTATAGCACCCTTCTTCCAATTGTTTGAGTCTTTGGATTGCTTTCTAGCATAGGAGGGTGTAGCACAATCTGGGATTATGCTACATCTGTGCTTCTTGCTGAACACCCCTGGATCACAGTCACCGTAAAGAAGCTGCCCTGTGTTTGGATGGAGGGGATGACCCCGAAAGGAAGTTGAGGAGTGAGTGGGTGGTTATTTGTCAGGTGTCACGCAGGCAGCCCTGACAACCTATGCATAATGAAAGAGGATCTGAAATGTCATCTCTGGGTGACACTGTGGGGGTGAAGACAGCGATGTGTCACGGGACAAGTGCCATTTTCAGATGCTTTCCAAAGGAAGGGAGAAAGGGGAAGTGAGACTGTGACTTCATACAACAGATCAGATTTGAAGTTTATAATACTTAGAAGAGCCCCAGCTGGCGCAGATCACAGCTCTCACGTGGAGTTTAGGGAACTGTAGGAGAATGTCAAGACACTTTAAAAGTTCATGGACCCTGACCAAGAAGATCTGGATTGTCTTTGATTTTTTTTATGAAGCTGTCTTCTGAATCACTAATCTGTCCATCTACCCTGTTTACCATCTTGTGCATCAATGAGCCCACAGCAAGGGGTCTTATAGAGCAGAGCATGTTCTGAGGAGTTAGATTTGAATGGTCTCACAGATGAAACTTGCATGGACCCAGGAATGAGTGAATGAGTCAATGTTGTTACTCACTACACTTCCTTATTCTAGAATGCCATCAGTTATAAGAGACTTAAGAACACATTTTTAAGAGAAAAAGGAAACATTTCTATATTAAATGTAAAAGCAATGGGATATTGAAATGTGAGAACATTGTACATATTAGCATCAGAGAAGAATCATACTGTCTCACGGGCACTATGTTACTTGACCTGTTTGAATCAACCGCAGGCTGATGCTGAACATCCTGGTTTTTATGGGCTCAACCATTAGGTCCAGCTACGAAAGATATAAGGTTGTATTTCAGCTAACTCTCATATTAAGTTCATATTTAGTGACTATTTCTAAGTCCCAAATGTGTGCCCAGTCTCTGGGTCTGGCATTAGCCATCCCAAGCTTAGCCCAGAATGTTTGCCAGATGATTATATTGAGTAAAGGCCTGGACACAGAAATCCATAGCATTATTGGGAGCCAGTGTGGTAACTAGTGCCTTAAAAGGGAGGAAATACATAGCAGAGGATTGGGAGACTAGGTGGCTAACAAAAAGTGAAGAACCTTGAGTGCCAGAGTGCAATGACTTGAGCCTTCTACTTTAGGCAGGAAGAACCATTGAACGTTGATAAGCAAAGAGAATGACATAGTGAAAAATATCTAAAGAAAAGCATGTTCTTGTGGTGAAGGGCAGAATATGATTCATCCTCGAAGATGAACCTTTCTTTTATTCCAAGATGAAGGTTTCATTTTTTTCACTGCCATGAAACTCCTATCAGGTGAACTCCAGTATGATGAATACATTCATGGAAATTACTTGTCTTCCTTCTTGGTCACCATTGTGTCCATGTGGCTCTAAGTAGGTGTGGACAAGGCAGAATATGGCTGCCTCAGAGGTGGACGTAGAAGTAGCCTCGATTTTTGGACAACGATGAGTGAGAGTAAAGTTGCTAAAATCTTTCAGCTTGCAAGAGGGTAGGGTGGAAGAAGGCACCTGCAGTTACAAAAAATACCCTCAAAACTACCGGACACTTATAAAAGGGGGAACCCGGGTCACATGAAGACTGCATTGTCTGTTCTGTGCTTGGTTATGTCACTGCCTAAAGAGGAAGTTAGGAGAAAGTTTCAGTGATGTAAGGGAAATTTTTATGTAGGGCAGAACTAAAAAGGAATTCATCACCTAAAAAAAGGATTCCTCCATCCAAAGCTGTTTTCCTAATTCCTTTTTGGCTGTCCCTGTGATAACCCCTCATTTTCTATTTTCAGCCCTACTACCTAAGTTTTCTTCCCACTCATAAGCCTGACTTGATTTTTGTTTTTGCGCTGGAGTATATTTGGGTAAAATTCCTGTGTGTTGTGGAAAACTAGTACAGATGTCAGAG